TGTACAGGAACCTCTGTAGGTGCTTTCTGCTTCAAGGTATGAAATGATCAGAAATTTGGGAAGAGAAAAACGTAGCACTAACTGTAGACTTTTTTCTACCCTAATAGAAGCAAAGTTGGTTTAAATTAAAAAAAAAAAAAAAAGAAGAAGAAAAAGCTTTAGGTAGCATGTAATTTGCTCTCAATATGCTCTGCTGTGCAAATATTCTCATCCCCTTCTGATAATATGTGGGTTTATTGATTAACTGTATGATTAACCACCATAACACAGGGACTTGAAAGATTCATGGGTCCTCATTTTATTAGTTTACTCTACCCTCTCCACACCCTGTCTTTCTTAGATCAAGGTCAGTCTCCCTGTATAAACACCTGACCAAGAACTGTAATTGTTTGCAGGTTTCAATGTAGTTTCAACTTTAAGTGTGAAAGCACAAAAAAAATCCTAATTGCAGCTGTCAATAACAGTGTGGCAGCTACTGTTCACATCATTTGCAGCTTCTGTCGCAGGGAAGCACATCTGACTCGGTACATAACACAGAAGTTGCTATTTCAAGGCAGCCACTGTTTCAGTGGTCAGACATCTACTCAGCCTTGACTTGATAGTCTAAAATAAATATCCTTGAGCAATTGTACAAAAACACCTATGCAGAGAGCAAGTAAAAGACTCCACTGTTTATAGTTTGCAGATGCTTGGGAGAAAACACTCTACATAACTTACCTCTAAACTGCCCTGACAATGGCTAAACTGGTTCGTGAAGCCAAAGAACATATTTTAAAACAAAAAACACCATGTAATCAAGCCTAGGCCTTAATTATTTTACCTGCAGTTTCCCTCTCTCAGATAGCACTTTGACAGATGGGTGCCAAATGACGGACCATCTCTGTTGTCAATTATTTCACTTGTCTCAGTTGCTCCTTTCTAAAACTGGCACCAGTCCCCTGCTGAAGCCTCTGGCACACTAACACGTTAAACAATTCCTTTTAATTAGCTGAGTCACATATCCAAGTTTGCAAGCTTTCTTTGAGGAGCCTCCATTCTCAAAAGATGATGCTTATATCGTCTCCACAGTGTAGAAACAGTCAGGCAGAAGGTACCAACTGGTCAAAATCTACATGCTGCTGTGAGTTGCTTCACTTTTATGCCAGCTAAGAATGGCTAATCATCAGGGGAGTAAAGTTTAGGACTAGGAGAAAATCAGGAAAGTAACTGAGTTGGAGGCAGTTTCTCTTTATATCAAGTACAACATGATCAAATTTGATTTCCTAATACCTTTTTATCACAGCATTAACTACAGGATGCAGGTAAAATGCTGATATCAATATTTCTTTATCGGTATTTCTTTATCAGTATCAATATTTCTTTAACGGTGGGACTTGATGATCTTAAAGGTCTTTTCCAACCTAAAAGATTCTATGATTCTATGATTCTTTCACATAACTGCAGGATTGCAAGCAGAATTGGACAGCAGCCTTTTTCACCTCCCTTCTTAAGCTGCCTTGTACTGCTGCTTTATTTTGTCAAATCAGAGGTATAGTCTACTGCTCAAATGGTTGCACCTAGCTGCTGGGGTAGAGCTCTCTATTTCCCTAGGATACTGTAAGAGTGATTTCATGCACTGTTGAGATGAGAAACCCAAAAGCAAGGAAGGGTGCTGTAAGAGAATGAGCAAGCTTTGCCTGGCATTTCTAGTTGTATGCCCAGTTGATATTCCTATGTTTCTGCTTAAAGTAGTTTGCTAAATATCAAGAAGGATGCCTTCTATTCTGAGAACAAGCTATTTTTGTTTGCATTACTTTCTCAAAGCAAGATCTCTAATAACTAAATGAAATCTTAGTGAATACTGAGGCTGGATTACAAAGTTGACACTGGATTTTAAAACTGTTCTAAATTTGAAAGGAGGAAACTGCCTTAGGTGACTACTGAGTTGCTCCCCCTCTCTCACTCTGTGAGGCAATGAATAGTTAATATTTTAATACAAATGAACCTAAGTTTCCCATCTGAATTTTTGGCCCCTGATTTCTCATGGAGTTGTAAGGCACAGCCATCTACATTTCTCACAGGCATTTCAGTATCTATAAAAAAAAAGCCAAGAATACTTCTATCCAACTCCTCTTCCAGGCAAAGATTATAAAGCAAAACAGTTAATAACCACAGCCTCCCCTGCAAACACTCAGAGCATGCCAACTGCAGAGTGTTTGCAAATCTGCAATGAGCAACGTACAAACCAAGCTGTAACTATCCTTTCATGAGATTTTGGCCTGTAAGTGAAAAAGTAGATGTGGCAGCAAGAAAAGTAATGAAAACCCGTTGTTTCTGATCCCTGCTCTGTTTCCACATGGTAAGTACAAACGTCCCTCACCATAAGAAGCTGCCAGCCCTCCCCTCTGCAACAGCCTTGCTAAAGCAGATGCTATTCCAACCAGGAGCAAAACCCCAGCTCTTGTACCATGCTGCGGAGCTCATGTTCGCTGTGGAGCATAAGCTCTCACTGTCAGGAAACTAACCACAAAGAAACCCATCATGGCACCATGTGTCAGTGGCCAACCCTCAAAAAATAATAAATAATAATAATAATTAAAAAAATCAGCTATGGCAAAGAACAGAGATAATGGTCGTTGAGGGCAATATTTTTACCATTATCCTGAGTTTTCTTACCAAGTAACAGAGCTGGCTGCCACATGCCAGTGTCCCAACTTAAGAAACAGCTGTAGTGGAACAGAAACACACAGCAACAGAAGAAGTGCTTGAGGCTTATCAGGCTCCTGTTCTCTCTCCAAAGCTTTCACCAGCATGTTATTAAAAATCTAAAAAGCACTAGGAAAGGATACTAGGATAGCTTAGGAAAGCTATCAAGACCACGTAAGAGAAGTTGAAAAGCTCTAAGTGTACTGAAGAAAACCCCTTCCTTTACATCAAATGAAAAAAGACCACATCCAGCACTCCCAGAATGAGCTCTTAAGTGAAAAAAGTACCTTGCAGGAGCTGTGCTTAGCAAGAAGTCATCTGTGCTTGTGTCCTTTATGGGGTCCTCAGACACTGTGGCCATCTACACTCAAGTTGCTACCCTGATTTTAAAACCCTTTTGACTCATCAAGGCTTTTTGAAGAAAAGCAAAGCAAGCTCTTTCTGTTACCAACAGCGCATTTGCAACAACACCTGGAGCAGTAAAGTATATTTTGGTCACCTGAATCACCCCACTGGGCACTCAGTGGAGACATACATAGGAAGGCACCTTTCTAGAATCTCCCTTTGACCTTGAAGGAAAACCTAAGGTTTATGTGCCATTTAATAGCTCTTCAGCTACCATATCTGGCTTTAGTAACATCAACATTTGGGATATTCAAAGCAGCTCTACAGAGTTTTCTTGGATCAATTCTTAAGCCATGCTGAAATCAATCCCAGGTCTATACTGATTTAATGGGACCAGAACTACTCCCCAAGGAACAAAAAGTTGGTGTAAGTGAGAAGAGAGTCAAGTTGAGAGATTCTAACTCCAATATTTTATGATGCTGCCAGAAGAAAGGATTCACTCGCTGTTTTTGGTCACACTAACATTGTAGTCAGCCTGTTTGAGAGAATACACAGTCATGCTGAGGAACCCACAAATTAGCATCCTCAACAAACCCTTGAGATGGTAACAAGGATCTGCTGCAAACAAATCCCATTTTACTAACAGGTGCTTTTTGGCGATATAAAACTCTACTTCTTTGCAGAAATAATTATAAACTGCTTTTGCTTAATCCCTAGAAGGCAGACCTTAACTGTGTAATCTAAAGAAAGAATCAAAGCAAAATTAAACAAAATTAGCAGTGTATGCCTGGAGCATGGTTCACTCAGGATTTCGATGACCTAAATCACAGATGGATTATTTTTCCCTCTAGTTGCGAGAAAGATTTAAACTTTTACTGACCTTCTGTGGTTAATTCAGGCATTTTTCTCAAGTTTTCACCGTGGTCTACTTATTCAGTGAGCATAACAACTCCTTCTTCTGAACAAAACATAACTTCTGCCCTAGGAAAACTGTGGGATAGTAACCACGGATATATTGTGGTGTGCAAAATTGGGATAGGGGTATATTTTTCCAACTAGTGACATATCATTCTTCCTTGTATCCTCCCTCCAAACTTGCCACTCCACTTATTAATCAAATGATTTATCCAGGACTACTCCTTTCATTTTTGCTTTAGGTCCTAACGATGTCAGATAGCTGTGGGTGTAAGCAAGGGGTGATACAACTTGCTTTAAAAAATACTAAAACTGAAACAATTATTTGCACAGTTACATACTTGTCATTCATAACCTCTTTTGCTTGCCTGTGCTACAGACACAGAAAAGAGCTGTCATACAGTATTGCTCACGTTACTTTATGGAAAACAAAGACAAGCTTTAAGATAGATAAAACTCTTCCTTGAGTAACGCAGTACGGTATCTTTACGTGGCTCACTCTCTCCAACTGCAGTCGTGCTGCTCCTCTGATAGAGGAGAATTGCTCTCTGAATGTTTATCAGAGTCCTTTCTGTAATGCATTTGTGATTTCAAAAAGAAACCATTAAGTTGCTTCTTGGTAAACAAGCACAAACCTTTGGAAAGCTCCCATGGTACAAACACAAATGCTCATCATCAAGTTTTTTGGGGCAGACAAGTTTCACTACACATTTCGACAACGCTAAAGCAAGCTGTAAAGAAAGCTTAGGTTTTATGCTTCAAATTATTGTCACAGCACCAATGAAGCTTGTTTAAAATTTAGTCTGCACTTTGCAATATAATGTACCATATTGTTTCTTAACAGAGATGTTAAAATGAGCACAATCAGAGTAACAGAGAGGAGTTTCAAGATGTAATTAAGCGAGTGTCGGAGGAAGGTCTGTGCTTTCCGAACAGCTGGCGTAAGTCTCCCAAGTGACTCCCTACAAACCCAACCCTTGGCTTGCCAAACAGCAGTTTATTTTGAGAGACAGCAACAAGGCTGCTGCTCGCGACCATTCCCTCTCCCTACTTACAGTTCGGTGGTGTTGGCAGGGATGTCCCGGGGAACCTGGACTACCTTGCTCTCCTGACAAATGAAGACCCTGCCCACGCAGCGGCAGGAGTGGTGCTGGCATCCCAAGCAGCCTGCCAGGAAAACCAGCAGACAGGTGAGGACTGGAGACATCTTTGCATTCACATCTGTGCCCATCTCCTTCATCTCAAAGGGAGGAATGCAGAGACCTCCCAGCCCAACTCCCTGAATGGAAGATCCGCCCCAAAAGCCGAGACGAACCACGTGGCTCTTGGGGGATGACTTCTCAGCAAGTTTCGGTTCATGCCCCCAGATCCTTTGTGACCTTAGAGCAGGGACAGAAAGAAGCAGTGATGACTTTTCATGACAAAAGTATTTTATATTTTAAGTGGTGTTGAAATCACAGGCCCCAGCCAAACTAGCCAGGGTGCTTTTGATGTACTGGGGATCTGCACTGGGGAAAGGTCCTTCCTTCTCAGCTACTCTATTTTACATGTCTTGTTTGGTAAGACCAAGGGACAACAAAGCATTTTTACTTTCTACAGCCCCGGCTCTTTTGACCCTGAAGGAGAGGCACTATTTATGCTCCCCTTCATGGATCCAAGAGCCCCTGCTTTTGTGTTGCTCCTAGGCAAAAGAAATGTGTTATTTTTTTATTTTATAGGGTATATAATCTATTTGATAGGTTAAAAGATATACACTCCTAAAGCCAGAGCTAAATAACATGCTTTATTTTCAACTGTGATTATTCTTCATGTACTTGCTGATTCATCTCCTCTTTTCCTTGGCACCTTTATAGGAACACAAACAGGAGAAAATGCCACAATCCCAATAGTCCCCGAGGACTGGCAAGATAATTTCATCATCTGGAAAAAAACCCAGAAATATACAGAATGGCTATTTGTGACACAACAGGAGGAAAACAGCTTCAAGAATACCATCATAAGGCCTGGACATTGAACCCTGTCTTTGAGTCCTTATTTGTTTTGTTTACTTTTTGACTGAGCTAAAATATCTTTCTTGCTACAAATATTAATCCATGGGGAAGGGACCTTACTAACTCTTTCCCGGCACTCAATCATGCTGCACCAGGCTATCATCTGGAACCAGGGTTTGTCTACAAGACACTTGAAATGAGAATTTTGAGATACAAAGGTGGGGGGTTTTGTTGGTTTTGTTCATTTGTTTGTTTGTTTTGGGTTTTTTTGTTTCTTTGTTTGTTTGTTTGTTTTTCTTTTAAACTGTAAATGGCTGTTTCAGACACACAGAGCTTTTAAGTCACGTGCATTTTAAGTGAGTGCTGGAGCTGGATTGCCATGGGTAAATCTGCTGAACTTGACTCACGTTCAATCCTTCACATTGCTTGGAAGGATTTTAGTCTTGTTAAAAGCAGGTATTAGGTTGTTTTTTTGGGTTTTTTAATTTTCTTTTTTCTTCTCCCATAATCAAAAATCATAAGCATATGTAATGAGGCACAAGACAGCATCTACCAGTCTCACCTTTAAAATAAGCGTCAAAATGTAGATGTTTCTGAAAGAAGCTAATTATGATTTTCAAAACTAATTCAACTGATTCTTTAAGTTACTCTAAGAGTTACCCTGATTTTACCAAATCTCACTAAATATTTGTTATTTTTCCCCACTCACTTAAACCTATTCAAGATGAGAATAGTGATATTTATATAAAAAGGTGAAAAAAAAAATCATGACCATCTCTTTCTAACAATGGTTGGCTTGTAATGAATTGTAAGAGTATTCATTTAGCTGTTTGTGTAAAACAGAGTCTGTTTTGCTAAGGTGTTGAATAAGTTTCATGAGAATGACAGTGACTGCCAGAAAAAAGTTTTTCTAAAATATTAGTGACTTTTTCCTCATATACATATATATATATAGTGTGTATATATATATTCTTTCCTTCGAAAGATCTTAGGCCTACAAGATCTTCTGAAATGAGTACCACCTTTACTTTCCTTCATTCTCAATGGGATGAAAACTGCAGAAGTCAGTCCGATGGTCAAAGAAATTCCCATATAATAAAAAATTGCTATAGTCCACTGCAAGTTGGACTAATTAGACACTTCAGGATTTAAACAAATGCTAGGAAGACAACTCATTTGAGGCTTTTCTGGTTTTGTCTTTTCAATAGCAAGTCTCTAGTTTCTACAACTGTAGACTGAAAGTAGGCTAAAATAAAAACCCAAAACAAAAGGTGAAGCCTGAGGAATATATAGGGCACAAGAACATTTGATTACAAATGAATATAAATCATATCTTTTCATCCCAAAATACATCAATATAAATGGTCACGTTATACTGATGAAACAGTAATATTTATGACATATAGTTTAAAAAGTGGTTACATTCTCTGAACGTGAAAATAATTTGCACTAATGTAAAGACATTGCAATTTGATTAATTGGTTTCATATATCAAACTACAAAATATGTTTCAGATGATAGTAACAATTCTTCTATAAGCAGAAGTCAGGACATTAAAAAATGTCACTGGGGCCACAAGAGATCTTTCCACTTACTAGTGACTTTCAAAACTATACCAAGTGTGCTTTATTTTAACACAACTAGTAAAGCATAGATGTTTTGAAACCTCAGGTCAGGCAGCAAATCATAAGCATAATGAAGAAAAATTGGAGGGAGGTTGGCTCCTTTCTGTTTTTGTTTGATGAGGCCACTTTCATTTACAACAATTAAGAGTGAGATGTTGATTATTAAATAATACAAAAACTCCAAACCCCAAGATTCTTTTGAAATGCTATGAAGATAAGCCTTTTAGGGATATATCCAGTTATCATTAAATTCAATAAAATCAGACTAGTATGTAAAATGGAACTGCCATTTCATTCATATTAGAGCAAACCCTAATTCAGGACCACATTAAAACTATCTGAGGATAAATGGAGATTTAAAGGATTTCCAGATTGTTTTATATATATGATCTAAGGTCTTGAAGAATAAACTCTGGTGTCTATTAATTTTGTGAACTGCGAATCTCTCTCCTGATTTCTGTTTGTGACTGCCAAGTGACACACAGCCACATCACTACAGTCCCCTGGATAGATTAATCAGCTGATGAATGTCTCTTAACAGCTGTGTTACCAGTTCAGGAACACAACTGTCTCCTCTCAGGAAGAAAATCTGTGTAAAGGAGGGGAAAAAAATGCCAAGATACCTCCTGGTGTCTTTCTGGGAAGTTGCACTCACAAGCCCTTCTTGAGCACCAGGTTGCAGCTACCACCATGCCTGAAAACCCAAAGGACCTGTTGCAGGGGATCCATGAGAGCTACTTAAAGCTAGTCATAAATACAACTCACATCTTTGTGCCATCACAGGGTTTCATACTTTTTCCTCAGTAGCTTGTTCAAAGCAACGCAGGGGGCAAACTCATGCCTCCATAGACCTGCCCCAGCTACACACTCTGCCACCTTCAGAGCATCACATGCTAGGAGCAAGAAGCTGCCTCATGGAGACGGCTGCCTGTGACACACTGTCATTGAGATACATACTGTTGAAAGTATAAATGCAGAGATGATGGTGCTTTCAGATATTTCTAAGAGCCTTATCTTTGCATCCCTTTGCAGAAGAACTGTGCTCCAGCTGGCAAATTGGTCTTGAGAGTGTAAACTGTTTTCCTTAATAAGGAAACAGAAATTTCCCCAAATTGTAGCACTGTAGCAACACATATGCAATTAAGTGAATTATGACAGAAACTCAACGATGATATTATAGGTTACGTAATTAGACTGCTTCTGGGATAGGTGGTTAAAGTTATATGGTGACCAAGGGATCTTTTTTAAGACAGTAGTAAAGGAATCTGGCCTCTAAAGTTACCATTGGCCTCTAAAATTAGCATTGGTCTAATTCTGCAAGCACTGAGCTGGAGGAACCGAGGGGTTTTGCAGATCCCATCCTCTGACAAAGCTGTGGTGCCTGTCCCGGGCCATGCTGTCGCCTGGATTGATGGGGACACAGCAGGAGATAAAATGAATCACCCCAGCTCTCTCCCTCACTAAACTTGCTCCAAATATACTGAAATGACTCTAAGTCCTTCCACCTCAGTGCAGACATGGTCAGCTCCGCACCTAAATCCAGCTGTCAGAGGTGTGGGAAGAGCTCTTTTTCATAAGGCAGGTAGCTTACTGGGTGTTGGAGTATATCAACCTACAGGCAAGCAAGTTCACAGCAGGTTCTGCTTGTGTTTCTCTTTTTGAAACACAACATGACAGCTAATTAAGTAAATATTCTTTCTGCTGGCGTTCCCCAGCCTCAAAACAGTGTTTAATTACTGAATGCCACTGTAATGCTGGCTTTGCTTAACCATAACCATTCTATAAAAATGTGTAGGCAAATAAATCACCTCTATGAACAGATGACATACAAACCACATCCAAAAGAAGTTTATCATTCAAAGAGTGGAGATTTCTTGCTCTTTTGATGATTTGCAGCACAGAGGTTTTCCCTATGGGTTTACAGGCAGCAACAGCATCTATTTTCCTGACTAGCATGCTATGATCAGAAAAAGGTGTTTTCTATCCAGAAAACCTTGCAATGTGAGGCGTAAGAGATAGACACCTAAGAGGAGATTAATAAGAGGGTGTTTGACACATCATTGATTTACCTTTTGTGAATGATCAACTTGGGTTTTAAAAAAGCAGATCACTGAGGCCAACAGACCATTTACCTGATAAAAATATAATGTTTTAGGCTCCTTTCCAGAAAGAGTCTTTTTGAACAGATTTTTTTTTTTTTTATTTTGCTTCATCTTTTTCCATGAAGGGGGATTATTTTTAAATACATTTGAATGGCCAGGTCTTACCTGTGCCCTCAGTGTTGAGAACATAAAACATTAAACGAGCCTAATAAAAGCAGTAGCTTATTGCTTTCTCAGTTCTTTTAGCCATCTGCTCGCATGCAACCTAAACTCTAAAACAAGAGTGAAATGGAGATAGTAAATTAGCCACCAGAGGGAGTGCATCCACTCGAGAAGAGAAGACACACTGGTGTAAGGAAAGGGTTAGAAATTGTATGGAATTATGCTCACGCAGATTTCCTGTGACTGTCTGGCTCTCAACTTCAAAACTTGGCCGTGATTAGTTCCCTTATTAAATAGCACCTCTGCAGACTGCAGAGCAGCACGCCA